AACCGAATAAGAACCGAAATTAAATAATTTTTTTATTTTTTATATTGAATTAATTAAATTATTTTATTTTTTTCTAAACAAATTAGCAAATTAATTAAATAAATCAGATTATTTCATAATTTTAATTTTAAAGCCAAAATCATTTTTAAAACCTATTAGCCCGTTTTAATTTACTTTTTGTAGTGTTTCTGTAATATTAATATATACTTTTTGACATTTGTATGTATTGAATTATTCTTATTGGATGACTAGTTATTTATATATTTTCGAATTGAGCTACATTAATTTGTAAAAGTTACGAATGAAATATCATCAGTTGTATTTATGTAGTATTGTGTAAATATTAAAAAAATTAATTATGGTATGGAATCGAATCGAACCGAACCCGACCCGAACGGTTCCATAATTATATTTGGAACCGGCAATTCCATTTATTAAATATCCGAAAGTTTTGGGTCGGTTCGATCCACAGACAGCCCTAGATATTATGTTGTGAGATTTTATAGACACCGGGATATCTATTTGGATAGGTGTGATGTCCCTTTGAACTAATTTGATCTGTGTGATCATTTAAGTTTTCGTTTGGCTAATTTATAAATAATTTGTATATTATCAAAAATTTCAGCATGCTATTCATTTATGTTTTATAAATTAAATCGTTCATAAATTCTTTTCAAACGAAAGTTAAGTTTATTTTCATATCAATATTAGCTAATATGTTTTGCGCAATTTAATTCAAAAGATATGATTTGGTGATCATATGTTTCTTATTAAAGACTCAAAATTAAGAAAGTTAACAACGTTTTATTAATTTAAATTATGCTTATATTTAATTAATGTTCATATATATTAGTGAAATTTATCAGTACTAATGTCAACTACCACAAACAATCATATTGTTTCAAATATCATATTATTTTTCTTCCTTTTTACAAATAACGACATGGATCAACCTAGTCCGTGTTTCCGTGTTTGGTATTGATTTAAATCAGATTTTAATTTAAGTTAAAGTTAAATAATCAATATTAATTATATATTCTATAGGTCTCACAATTTTTTAACCACATATTTGAAAAAAAAATAATTATCAAAATCAACTAAAAATTTAATTTTAATCCTTACCAAACAAGGTGCTAGAAACTCCCCTATGTTCACGCAACGATATTTTTGTAATAATAGTAAAAGCATGTTTGAACCTAATTTTTTCTTAAGAATGCATTTTGTAATAACAGATTGATGGAGAATGTGTAATTGAAAAATAAGGAAATTTTTTGAATTTACGTGTAATATTATTTTTGTTTATTCAAAAAATTATTTTATATATATAATAAAAAGTTACCGTTTTGCTCATTTTAAAATTAATGAAAATGATGAAAAAATTGTGTGATCATAATGAAATGTTAGATGAAATTAGGTGATCATGATGAATCATTATATGAAATTGGTGGTCATTGTGAAATAAAATCAAAATGAATGGTTATGGTAATACTAAATTTAAAGTTGGGTGGTCAGTATCAAATAAATACGGTGATTGTTTTTTATTTGAGAATTGATTCTCAAATCAATTCTCATTTTCAACCACATATTATTCAATAAAATAATATTTTCTATCACATTAATAATTTTTTTTTCTTTTTCAATCACACATTTCCCATCATGTCACTATTCAAAAATCAATTATTCCCCCAAAAATTCCTACTAAACAAGCTCAAAATCAAATTGAGCAACCATTGTGGTACTAAATATAAAGTTTGATTGTAATTGATGGATTTAACCCATTTTGGAAATAATGGGATAATATTCCTCTTTATTCTTTTATAAATAAAATTTTATTGCCTTTCCATATTTCAATTCTTAATTATTAAGTATTCCTGTTCAAAGTTTCCTTCTATTTTCACGGTAATCGAGAAATTATTATAATATAAAAGTACTAAAAACCCCTGAAAATAATACTAATTCCACCCTCCTCCAAACAAACTCTCTCTCTCTCTCTCAAATCATATCTTTTTTTCAAGGTAAAGGTAATTATCACGTACTAGTTGAGATCTGTTTGAATTATTGGCCGTCCGATCCGAGACTTGGATATCGAGATTCCTTTCACGCGCTAGATCTAGATCTGCAGGAGAGAAGGTATGGTGGTTAACGGGCGAACACCGATGAAAAGGGTGGTCAAGAGGCGAGTCACGGCTGACCTCAAAGACTTCCTCACGTTCCCCACTGCCGGCGATGCTGATGATATTCCGGCGGTCGCCGGACCGTTCAGGACGTGCGTGAAGGATTTTCTGTCCGAGCACGCGCTCCTCCCTCCCCCTTCTTCGCTCTTTCCATACCTGCTCACGTGGCAGGTCCTCTTTCGCGTAGGCGACCTTGTCGGAGACGACGGCGGTCCTGCCGTCGTTTGCCTTGACGTCGTGGAAGAGGATGTCTCGAGATCCAGATCTGTTTATTGCGACCCGTGCCGAGTTGTTGGTGAGTTCTCCACACCGAGTCAGCACCGTGTCAAACTCTAAACTCGTCTTCTTTTTGTATTAGCGTTTTTTAGAATGGAGAAATTTCAAATTGAAAAAAATATACGTCTCATTAGTTTTAGGCTTTTAGCTCCTTTAATATTATCCTTACCGAATTTCCTCTCGAAAAAACTATTTGCAAATAAATGGACTCTTATTAATAAAGCAGAGCGGAGTAAATCATAATGCAGTTGATGGATGAGATGAATGGACCCCAAAAATAAAGTAAATACGAAAGGATAAAGAAAGGAATGGGGTCCAAGACAAGAGTTCGATACATAATACGACAGATGCCACCTGCTGGCATCGTTGGACCACTTGTCTCTTTATCTTTTATCTTTATCAGTGGCTGTTTGCTTGTTTACTTTCTTCAAACTGCCCCTAATAGTTAGTGTAATTTTGACTATTGAGTTTTATGGATGCTTTAAAGAGTAATGCTTCTTAGCACTAGCCAATGTCGCAAACCTTGTTGTTTGGCTTTGTTGAATTCTTGTAATTATTAGGATAACCTAGAAGTATGGCAATGAGCTGATTTTTCCCATTTTATGCATTTTAAATTTATAAAACGTGACACATTATATGCTGTGATTATTTCTAGTAGCTGTAGAATTCCAGGGATGTTCTTTGAATAACTTCAGCTGATACTTCATTTGATTGTTAATTGAGGGGTTTGTAGGATGGAGCAGTAATCCAGTAAGTGCAAAGCGCTACCATTTTATAATAAAGTCTGATGGCAATTCCATTGCTGGCTATAATAAGATGTGTGCAGGATGTGGTGATATCCTTCATATGATGGATTTGAGGTGAGGACAACATTTCTAGTTATGTTTGGGTTTTTATTCTGCCCTTTTTGGAGCTCATATGCACTTTGGTTGTCAAACCTGGATTATCAGTTAGAACTTGGAACAGTTGGTACTACTCACATGTATTATTCAGTCCCATAGTACAATGCTTGAAAATTAGCAATGTAGGATGATTGCTCCAGGATATTTGGTGTTAACATATGCTGCTCTGGTTTCAATAATCACAATATACTTAAGTTTTATAGTACCGCTGACCACATTGAATGCATGTTTGATGCGTCAACTAAACATCATTGAACAATTTTACAAAACAAAGACACGTGGCCAAACTTGTTAACCATCATATTATGTCCTTTCTAGTGTAGTTGACTGGACATACGATGATTGCATTAATTGGTTCCACCGATGTTCTGAAAAATGACCGGCCTGGTCTTTTCAACTGGAAAAATTGGGAAACGGATCTAAATCCAGTTTGGTCTTGTGTTTAAACCAAAAATCAAAAGCGAGTTCAACCAACTGGTTAACAGTGAACCGGATGAAACAGTCAGATCTTTCCCAGTTTACATGGTTTACTGTTGAAAAAGAAAACCCTCGATTGAAGAGGTTTTCTATCACCATACTTTTGCTGTTCAGTATGGGCCCCTCTTTTTTAGACCAAACTTTGCTTGTCTGATTGCTAGAATGTCGATGTGGGATTAAAATCACTGGGTAAAGCCAATACAAATATGTAATTCTCTTATTTATTACTGTAGTCGCCAGCAGAGTCAATTTTATTTATTCACCTTATTTTTCATTCTCTTTATTTATTTGTTCAGTCCACCAACTAATTGTATTTCATATTATTATAATATGTTAGACTCATTTCTTTATAGGATCGAATCAGGCAAAATATTTAGCTTTGTTGGTCGTTAAGTTTTGAGGTATTTAAGCAATTTACAAATAATAAATTCAATTAACTAACATGAATATGTTTTAACTTTGTATTAGTGATGTCAAAATTTAAAAATTAAATTATTATTATTATAATTTTTTGTAGTGTGTGTATATACACACATCCTAAAAATCACTATTCAAAACATTTTTTTTTTGGAAATAATGGCCACCAAACGGACTAAATTTTAGCATCCGGTTAGACCCAGTTGTAGCTCTCGACCCTTGACTCCTTACCTTTTCCGGTTCAATGTCTTGGGCTGGTTTTCAAAACATTGGACGTTACACACAGACCATCTGCTATCTGTGCTTTATTGTGTTGTGAGAAGTCCTATTGTTCATGATACATGGATACAGCCATTGAGTTTTAGTATTTATCTTGTCGGGCTTATTGGGCATCATGATCAATAATATAGTGATACATGAGAATAACCATTAACTCCATTTTAATGACTTCCCAGGTGCAAGTCATGCAACCATGTGATGACCATAGAAGATGTTGAAGACTGGATGTATCAACAGTTGGAAAATACAACACATCTTTTACATGGAGTGATTCATGCAAATGGCTTTGGGCATCTCCTTAGAGTTAATGGTAGAGAAGGTGGCTCCAGGGTGCTTTCTGGACGTTATATAATGAACTTTTGGGATCGGCTTTGCAAAATGCTGGGAGTCAGGTTAGGATAATTTTCTGTGCCTATCTAATAAAAGTATGTTTCTATCTTTGTTGCTAAATTTTGCTCTTCATAGTTCAATTTTTAAAAAAAATGCAGGATTTGCGTTTTTTTTTTTTTAATGATTGCTTTCTTTTCAATTCAAGGATGTATGTGTCACTCTATTTGCCCTTTTGAAATCTGTCTCTTGTCAATCAGGTTTATGCTTCTTGTAATTGTGCATCAATCTGCAAAGCAATGCATACCATGATTTTAACTTGAGTTTTACCCTTGACAGAAAGGTTAGTGTGATGGATGTATCAAAGAAGCATGGGTTAGAGTTACGACTGCTACATGCCATAACTAAAGGCCATCCTTGGTATGGAGATTGGGGTTATGAGTTTGGTGCTGGGAGTTTTGCTTTGACACGAGAAGACTACAGAATGGCTGTTGAAGACCTTTCCTGTTTGCCCTTGTCCATATTTCTATCTCGAGGGCGGAAGCCTCGAACACACCTGCAGGATTTAATTTCATTTTATCAGTCAATATCAGAGCGTGAGATTGTAAATGTTAGAGACCTCTTCTGCTTTTTAACAAGTTTGATCCATGATGCTCACAAGTGTTCCTTGAGGTCTGATGTTCCTCCTTGCAAGAAGCTTAAAAGTTGTGAATCTATGGCCCTGTGCTCATGGACCATGAATGATATTGCACGAGTGGAAGAAGCTATGTTCAAGGTGTTGCGTGCAGTTAGTGGGTCCACCTGGGTGAGTTGGCGTGCCCTTAGAGGTGCTGTTTGCAAAGTTGGCTGTCCTGAGCTTTTGGATTATTGCCTTAAAGAGCTTAAGGGAAAACAGTCATCTCAAGGAATGGTGGTCAATGCCCGCTGCATATCTGATTCTAGTGTGATGGAATATAGGTTGGCAATTTCGACTTCTCTTTAGCTGCATTTCTGATTCTCATATTTAAGCTGCAATGTATGAATTTGCATCATTTATTGAATATTCTGTGCTTCCAATTTTTGAACTACCTCTTCATTCTTGAGCCAATAATGTCTTTGTTTTATAATTGTCTAAGCTCGTTTTTTTTCCTGCATCATCGGATGCAGACTTGAGCCAGGAAATGCATCACTGAATACCAATACGGCTTTGAACAGCACCCTTATCACGCAATATCGATCTAATGAACATCTCCTGCAAGATCTGAGATACTTGTATGAATGCATGCTTCTTCCTGAGACAATGGTGAGCCATGTGCCTTCAACAAAACGAGATGTCGCAGTTGGTGCAGCTTCTGCACTACGTGATTGCAAGCAATTTGTTAAAGACTTCCATCCAGAGAACATTTTTCCAGCTTCTGGATCAAAAGCAATACAACTGTTTTGTGAAGTGGACCTCACAGAGCAATCTGAAGAATACATCCCTAATCCTCCACCAGAGTTGCTCGTTCTTTCCCCTGATGCCACCATTGCTGACCTCAAGCTTGAGGCAATGAAGGCCTTTCAAGAAGTATATTTGATGTTCAGAAGGTTCCAAGCTGAAGAGCTGATGGGCTATAGCGGTGTTGATGAATCCACCCAAGTGAAGCTCTTGTTAGGGTCTACTGAATCTGTTTGGATTCGGGGAAAGTTCAGCGGGAAAAGTTGTTTGAGTAGGTATAGGATGGAAAGGGGTACCGAGAGATGGACTGTGGATTGCTTTTGTGGAGCTATGGACGATGATGGGGAGAGAATGCTGGCTTGTGATGTCTGTGGTGTATGGCAGCACACCAGATGTTCTTCTATACCTGATTCTGATGCAGTTCCTACAAATTTTTATTGCTTGAGATGCAGATGCAATGGTCTAGTGATTAGAACTAGTGATAAATGCAAGGATGAGGTGGTGGTGGTTGTGGAGGATGCCGTTCGTGGTGATGCTGCTGCTCCTGCTGGCGTCTATGGGAAGAGCATGACGAATACTGGGGTTTCATAATTTGTAAATATTTTCCTCGGGCTCTGGTCAAATGTGTATATATAAGCAGGGTCTTGAGAGGATTCCAGTGGACGTTTGGCTTTTCAGGTGGCATTTACCAAAACATCATGTATGTAGATTTTGTTTGTATCGATTCGACATCTAATTGCTACTAACCTGCGCGGGAGAGTGAACGATGTTTTCAAATGTAAATCTCTCTTCCCTTGTTATTAATTGCTCGTCTGGCATTATTGTTGCGAGTGGAGCTTTTAGATTTAGAGCTTTGTAAGTAGCTTTTTTCAGGAAGGGTTATTGAAAAGTTGTTTAATATTAAATTACTTGTTTAGCTGTATAATTTTATAGTTAGTGATATTTGTGGAAAATATGTATAAAAAAGTATGTTTGAGTTTGATGGATCATGTTTATAAATTAAATAGGTGGCAAATAGGGACTAAAATTGCTTATTCTACTTGTTTATTTGACTAAACTTTAATTATTTATTATATATTTGTTATAAAAAAAAATATGATTATTAGTGAATGACAATTATATTTCTGTAGATCTAGATCTAATTTTTATTATCAGTGTATACTTGATTTTTTCCTAAAAATATGGGGCACTTGTTTTTAATATAATACACGGTTCTATTTATTTCTTTATTTTCTTCTTTTTCTCTCTAATTTATATTATGTTATAAGTACGAAAGCTTAATTTTTAAAGTCTAATGAAGGTAATAATTTTTTATAAGCATAATAACATATCACGTGTATCAAAATTAATTTGGTGACTTACATGTATATAATCACCACTTTATTATTTTTGTAATCGCTATTTTGTAAGCATATATAATTATATATTCGCCATTAGTAGCACTTAAATTAGTCTCTGTATTTTTAGCAATGTTGTAAAAATCATATTGGATCGATCGGTTCAATCGGAAAAATCGTGAACCGACAACAAATCCAGTCCGGTACTCATCTATTAACCGGAAAATGAAAAACCGGCCAATAAACCATCAACCCAGCCTGTTTAACCATGAACCGAAAAATTGGCCACAGTTTTTCCAATTATCCGATTAGTATAATTTTTTTCTTTTACAAAATTTTTTTAACTATCTTGAAGGGTTACCTATTGTAATGGAAGACCAAATAACTTTTTTTTTAAACAAGTGACATTCCTTTGACTCATTTTTAAAGAAGAATTTTCTTTCAATGTTTTAGTAATCTTCAAATGTGGGATACTAGATCCTTTTTAAAGGGGAGCCTCCTTCCAATATTGTAGTAATCTTTCAATGTGGGATACTAGCTAATTGTCAATTCTAAGTGTTTAATAGTTTACTTCATCATTTTCATTAAAAAATCATAACCCCTACAAACAATTTTAATTTAAACAAAGTAAATTATTTTGGACATATTAATTGTTAATTTTTATGGTTATAAAATAAATTACCATAATAAATATAATTAACGAACATGGATTATATTTACTTTGAATTAGTAAATTAAAGTTAAAAAAGCTATTGTAGTTATGATATTTTATAGTTTATTATTTATTTATTTATTTTGTCATCCGGTTCGATACCAGTTCGACCCTCTCCATTTTTCGGGTTGATGCCTTAGTCGATTTTTGAACCGTTGATTTTTAGTCTCTTTGCGAGACCCAATGATCAATGAGCACTAATTTCACCATTATGTGATTTCACCAATAAGTTCATGTGAGATTGACCATATAATCACCATTTGGTATTCACTGTAATGAGTGTTGATATTACTACACAATCTCAATTATTTTATTGGCACGGCCGCAAGCTCTCAATTCACCATACACTTGCAAACCCAATTACAAAGCACTTTTACGCTATTAAATTTTTTTTTTTTTATCTTTTCCACTTAATTCACGTTAATGAATTCAAGTTAATATTTTATATGTGTTTATAGATTAATTAATATTATCATCGTGGTATGCAATTGAATGTTTCATTAACCTTTTTTATGTTTAACAATAAAACATCAATTATTAAATTCTTCTTAATTGTTGCTTCTCAAACAGCACAACATATTATAGGAGAATATTACTTGCTCTTAAAAAATATAAATTATAATTTTCAATATTTTAAAAAAATATTGATCTATTGCTCTTGAAAAAAATACAAAGTACTCTCGAAATAGTACGTCTTGAAGAATATATGTCATGTGTAATTTATGAATTTATATTTATCTTCGAAAGAAAACATATAATTCATGTCATGTGAGTATTGATTCTTATATGATTATATCATGGTGTTAATTATATTTTCAAGAATTAACCATGTTTTTTATTTGATTGAATAGTTATCCAAATTACAAACATTATATTGAGCAAGAAGTTCAATTATCGAATGTATTATTGTTTGGTATAACTAGTTGGACCATCACTTGATCAATAATGATGCGAAATTAAAAATTCAAATGTATATTTAACGAAGAACCAGAGATTCTTCAAGCCAAAGAATTCCTATATGATGTTTGTTTTTTAAAATTAGTCATTGATTGCCATTAACTAAAATAGGGACTAAATTTCCTATATTTCTAAAAATTGATTAGGGTGATAAATGAGACCCTATCATTCTCCACGTTGATCATCTAGATATTATTTATAACTAATAGATTTGATACATCTACTAGATTGCACACTATTCACAACATGAAGTTTTAGGTTACACAATCAAGACAACGTGTCTTATTAATACGAGTAAGCCTAAATCTTGATCTTTTAATAAGTAAAGTTGGGATATCGATAAATGATTTAACATTATTACTTGTTAAATATCTCCAATTAATTTAATTGTAAACAAAATACTTCCCATTTCTGTATAGAGAGTACTATTATGCATCATGTCAACATCAAATTCTCCATATTAAGATGTGGTTTTGGTCAGAGTCTAATTTTTTCATCTAATTATTTTGATAGTGTAGTGTATGTAAAACTGATCCATCGCAATACGATGAGATGGGAAGTAAAGAATGATGAGAATAAATGCGTAGTATAAACCCTTATCTCAAACGGGTGATATTTTATAACGCAATCTGTTGATTGTCAATTTGATTGCATAGCTGTTAATGTTATCACTGAAGGATTTAATATGTCCAAAACATAATTCAAGTGATATTATCATGAGGGGAGTAAATACGCGCTGTACTATTTTTCTCTTAACCAATGTTTTGTCCCATTGAATTTTTTGTCAAGATTTTAAATGAGAAATTTTGTAACATATTCAAAACAATAATGTACTATTTTTCCTTTATTAGGATTTTCCCACTGAATTTTTCCTAATAAGATTTTAACGATGCATATTCATTGTATAATTAATGTTCATAACATACAAGGCATTTATCCTTAAAATAATACTCTGATATCTATGAGACTCACAAAGAGATCAACAAGAGCTATTATTTGAATAATCATGTTACTACAATCTACAGTCATCAAAAGTTAATAGATATCTCGTATGAAGATGATGTTATTTGAAAGTTATAGCAAGACAACACGAAACATATTTTACCAAAATTACAATATTTAAGGCATTATGTAGAAGACATGAATGACTTGATACAAGAATTTGCACTTATTGAAATCAGAGGGAGCAGATGTACTCTTTTTCTTTAACTCAAGTTTTGTTCCATTGAATTTGCTTGACAATGTTTTAATGAGGCGGACATTTTGTAATGTGTCATTTAAGGGTGAGTATTGTAAATAATATGATTATTAGTGAATGACAATTATATTCTTATAACATTAGTTTTTATTACCATTATATCCCTAATTCTTCCATATGAATATTAGGCATTGGTTTTCAATATAATACTCACAATTCTATTTACTTCTTTGTTTTCTTCTCTTTTCTCTCAGAGTATAACATATTGCATATTATTTTCATAATAAATTTTTGTTTCATATTCTATAAAACGTATGAATTCTAATTAATTAGCATGGATAACTACTATAGAATTAAAAAACCTATTTATTATAGTTGTTATTTTGATTCATGAAAGGATAATTTAGCAAGAAAAAATTTGTGAGTTGGTTGTGGTATGGAGCTGAGTCACAAGAAGGCTGGCTTATGGTGTTTTTTGTGACCTCAAATGAACGAAGAGGTTGAATGAGTAGTTGGAGATGAAGTCAAGTGTCAATTATCTTTTGTTCTGGTATTGTTATATTGAAAATTGGAGATGAAGTCAAGTGTCAATTACCTTTTGTTCTGGTATTGTTATATTGAAAAATTTTCTTAAATCGATGAAAAATATTCCAGTTTCACCTAACAAATTTATTGAGTGGTGCACCACAAATTTTGTCAATCATTATACAAATTTTATAAACGATATACAATAGTTGGAGTGAAATAAAAATATAAGTTATGTGATAGTTTTTAAACAAATTTGAACTTGGCTGACCAAAATGAAATAAATCTCTAAGTTGTGTCACTTCCAATGAAATTAAACGTAGAATTGGACTATTTATTGTGGAATCGACTTATTCCTTTTAAAAGCAGCTGACCAAATTACTAGATCGATGACCAATAGTCAATTTTTCAACAAAATAGGTAACACTGGTTACCAGTATCTTCAAAGTGACAAAAACTATTTATTAAATCATTTTTTCAGGTAACTTTTGCTTTTTTCATGTTTTCAATATCTTGCTGTTACTAACGAGATTTTTGAAGTGTCGTGTGAATAAAATTGAACAAAGTGAAGACAAGTCGAATCGATTATGATCTTCTACACTGAGTTTCATAAATATTTTAGAAAGAACTTATATTAAAAAGTAAAGTTCTTCAAGAATTATTATTGAAAATATCTTTTGTTTGGTGTCAATTCAAACTGTGTCGTCGATTTTGTCTGCGCAATTATAAAAATGATTTTGTTTTACTATACATTACATTTATTTGACTAAACATAATTAAAGGGCTAATTTCACTCATGGCCATTAGACTTTCTATTAGCGTCACCACGGCCATTGAACTTTCAACTTAATGTCACTATGGC